TTTAATTACACAAGCTTGTGGACAACAGTTCTCACAAATCATCACATTCCACCCGTGAACCCCAGAGGCTACTGTCCCAGCATCTGGTGAGGTCATGAGACTCTGATGAGGTGGTGAAAGGAGGGAAGCCACTTTCAGTGCTCTGAGGGGTTCTGAGTTAGGAGGGTGGAAGATGCTGTCATCCAGGTCCATCAGGATCCTGAGGAGGGCTGGTTAAAACACAGCACATTATGCTCCTCCTGGAGGTTATTTAGGTTATCACAATGCTGGCAGATTCCACAACCGTGACCCTTTCTGCTGTGCACTCAAACATCTGAGCAACCAGATTCCATTAGAGGAGTGCATCACTTGGGACTACTTCCAGAACACCGATTCCAAGTCTTTCAGGGCTGCAGGAAGAACTAGGTGGCATTTAAATTAGAAGCATTTGAGAAGCATGAAGACTTTAAGATGTGGGTGTGTACAGAGAAAGCACAAGGTACTTTGGTAGTCTGAGGCAATAATGTAGTTATAGCCTGAGTGATTCACCCCTCTGTGGACAGAGCCACAGCAAGCTAACTGGAAAGATGCTGAGCTGAGGCACACGTGAAGCCAGAGGGGAAGGAGCCCTGCAGCAGCTCTTCTTCCTTCAAAGTCCCAAGAGTCTCTCCAGAGCCGCCATCCAGCTTGAAGCCAGTGGCCAGCTCTGTCCTTGACAGAGTCCTCACGTGTGTCTGAAGGGACAAGCTTGTGGTTTCCTTTCCTCACATGTCTCTTGGCAGTTTTTTTTTTCCTATCAAAGTATGTGAGAGTCAGTTGAACAGCACAGACAGCTGCAATTCTCTGGAAGAGCTTGCGCAAGCTGGGGATGGTCCATTCCCTCAAGGCTGGAGGAAATTAGTTGTTAAAGCCCTCCGAGCCCCAGGGATGTGTGGTGGGAAGATTTTCAGTTATTGCTTCCATTTGTTTAGTAGCTTTAGAACTACTTTTTTTTTTTCATTTCTTTTTGCAATCTGGCTACATTTAAAAAAATCCTCATCCATTTCTTGCAAATTAAATTTATTGGCATACATTCCTCATTTTCTTTTTGGTGTCTGCAGGCCTTGGGATGACACCCTTCCTTTTCATTCTAGCTGTGGGAATCTGTGTCTTTTCCCCAGCCTTAAAGGAGTTTTAGTTTAGCAAAAGGCTTGCCGAACCACCTTGATTTGGATCTAACTTACCCTTTCTAGTAGATATTGGTTTTGTGCTCTCTCTCTCTCTCTCTCTCTCTCTCTCTCTCTCTCTCTCTCTCTCTCTCTCTCTCTCTGTCTCTCTCTCTCTCTCTCTCTCTCTCTCTCTCTCTCTCTCTCTCTCTCACTTTTTTCCTTTACATTCACTGTGCTTGATTTGAAAGAATGGAAAGATGTATTTTGTAAGCATGAATGTACCAGAATATTCCGGAAAGGAAGGTCCAGCAATAAGGAAAGTCAGAACCAGGCGTGTGCAGCGACAGATATGCTCAAGCAGAAGACCTTGTCCAGGCTGCCCCTTCCCACCTTCCATCACCGCCACTCCAGTATTACCTGCCCCAGCTTCACATCCTCTCAATCCCTGGTCCGTGCTCCTCCAAGGTAGTTCCAGAAACAGGAATAGAGTGGCCCCCCTGACCCTCTCCCATCAGAGCCTCAAGCACTGATATTCCCCAAACTAGGGAACTGTGTCTGCCTGGGCCTGGGTGGCAGAAATGTGTGGTTCACAAGGTGGCATATGATGAGTGGTGTGGAAAGCCCCTGCCATCAGAGCCTGATGAGATCTTCCCAAGTCCTGGACCTTCACACTCAACTCTACTTGGGAAAAGGCACTGATGAAAGTGATGCTCTGAAAGCTGATTGGCTTAGCCCTCTGCCTATTGCTTCCTTCCCCTGGTGCTTTGGAGGCGTCATTTAATCGCTCTCCACCTCCATTTCCCCATCCATCAAAGGCATGTGCCTCCTCAGAACTCAATGCATAACGTGGGCAAAGCCTTCTTTGTGGTTTTCTTTCTCACATTGGAGGAAAGAGAAACAAATAGCTCTTTGACTGGTTGGCTGCCTGCAGTGAGCTCTTGAGACACAGCCCTGTTCTCTATCCCCTCTGGCTCCTTATACTGGGCAATGAGGCATCATCAGTTTCCTGTGCTGCACAACTCATGGCTTACCTCTTGCATTTCCTGGTGTATTATTTGACACCCAACACCATCTCACTGAATTTGGGGACCTCTTCCTCGTGATTTGGTTATGACTTGGCCTGAGAGAAAGTCTTCAGGGAGTACCATGTGCACTCCTTATAAAAGACAGGCAGAGAGGCCAAAGAAGAGAGGCTGAGACTCACCTAGACAGAGGCGGCGTGCAGGCCTCTGTAGCTCTTCTGCGCTTTCTGCTCATCACAGCCACCCTCTGTATCCCACGGCTGACTCAGCCAGAGGAAGTCAGTCTGTCTGCCTCCCCAATGACCTCCCTTGCCTTTTATTCCTCTCTCTTTCCAGGAACCCCTAAGCCCTCAGCCCCACTTCTAAGCCCATCGGAAGAACAAGGCTCTCCAGAGTCTTGACTATCTCATTCCAAAATTAGAAAGCTGAAGTTGGGTTGGAGACAGAAGGAACTCTCCTGTCCAGCTGCAGACCATCCTAGAGCAAGACTGGTACCTAAGCTGCCAGCTCCAAACCCAGAGCCACTTCTGCGACACCTCTGGCCATCAGAAGCACTGCAGACCTGAGGCTGTACCAGGCCCTGTCCACTGACCATGCACCTGTCTCTGCCAGGTGCCAAGGATGTGTCCCCACCATGCAGCCAAGAGAAATGTCTGAGGTCTCAAGTCACAGTCAATAGACTCCTCCAAATCTGGGGCCTAAAGCAGGAGCCCCAGACCCGGGAATGGTTCAGAGATGATTGCACCCTACTTTGCCTTGCCCTGTGGCTGCTGCTGTTATAACCATATCGAGAAGCTCTGCGTGCCCCTAAAGCCTTTTCTCTGTGATCTTGTTCCTGACTGTAGCCAGATCCTGAACACTTCCTGCTTCTTACCAGCAGGAAGATCCTTTTGAGAGAACTGAAGAGCTGTCAGCTCAGCAACACCACCTGTCCCTAGGAGGCTGTCACGTGGCTAGAAAGTCATGTAGGTAGAAAGTCGAATGGGTAGAAAAGCCTTGCTCACCAAGGCTTCCCCACCACTATATGCTCCTAGCTAAGCTCTACCCCAGAATATAGATGCCAGATGGACTGAGGGTCGAGGGGATAGTATCAAAGCCTCCCCAGTCTTAGAGTACAAAAGTGCCCAGAGAGGCTGGGAACGTCCCACAAGTGCTCTGCCTCCTAGTGGCTGCAGTCTCCTCACACCCTGGCATTAATTTCCTCAGCTACCAGGAAAGTGACCCAGCAGAGCAACTGGTGCCTCTGGAGGCTCTCCTCCTCCTTCCCACACACTGGGGCAGCCCTTTGTCTGCCACTGCTGGGCCAGGCAGAGGCAGAGGAGTGAATGGGTTGCAGGGGCATCCTCAAGAGGGCTCCTCCATTGGCAGTGCCCAGTGCTCATCAGACACAGAGCTCTGTGTCTATCTCAAGCAGAAGTGGGTCCAAGACACTGTGCCACACCTGGACCAGAGCCCCACCCTCCAGGTCCTCTGCTCTCCTGCTCGGGCTTGGACCCTGCCAGACCATGAGAGGTAACAGTTTTGGTCTCCTCCCAGTCTTCGCATCTCTATACTCTGCAATAGCCTGACTGTTTTTGATACAAAACAGACCGTGCCTTCCATGTTACTATTATTTGAATTCTCAGTGGTTTGGGCTGTATTGTGAATACTGATCATCTATTTTTATTGTGTTTTTATGGTGCTGGGATTTCAATACTGTGCTTTGTGCATGCTGAACAAATGTTCCCTCATCAAATTACACCCTCAGCTCCAATGATTTTTTAAAGCAAGGTCTAGAGAAAGTTGGTTCTTAACCTCTTGAAACACAGACCCTGCCCTCTGTAACCTGAGTAGGTTTCTCTTCAGCTTGCAGGGTTGAACTGTGTGCCTGAAGGAAAGGTGGAGGGACGCGTAGAGACTGGTCTACATTATGAGTGTGAGGTTTGCTAAGTGGGTAGCAGGAGGATGGACGCAATAGGAGGATCCCTGACATTGTGCAGAAACTGAGTTTTCTTCAGTGTTATCTCCTGGCCATTAGGGGGCTCTCTAACGTCATCAGGGTGGTGTAATAGGCAGGAGGGAATGTGATGTTCAGAGTCTGTCCATGTGTCTGGCTTGGGCTCTTCGGAGTGCCCTGAGCAGTGCCTCTAAGGTCTACTTTTCTGGCTTGCAATCCTTTCATTTCATACTCAGCTCCTGCCATCTGCTACTCCTTTACTTTCAGAACCTCCCGCTTTCCCATGCCCAAAGTTGCTTTCCTGGGTCTCCTGCACACCTCTAAAACTCCCCGTGACATCCGCTGGCCTGGGTTTGTGTCCCTGACATTCTTTATATCCTTCTCCAACCCTGATCACCTCATTTATAAAACAAGGTTGGCAACATCTTACAGGCAGATGAACAATAGACTCCCCTCCACCTAGAGCATGGGCAGGACTTCCTCGACATGGGCTCCCAGCCCAGTGTGAACCTAGCCCTGGGCCAGTTGGTTCTTCTACCATGGCTCCCTGAGCTACCAAAGGTGGAGGAGAGGCCAAAGCACAGCCTGGGCCAAAACTCATCCCATACAGTGGTTCCTCTGGCACCAGGTCCAGCCACCCCCCAACCACAGCCTTCCAGACCCTGTGTCCCACCTCCAGTGCCAATCAAGTCTGAATCCCAAAATCCTCATGAAGTCTAAAAAAACACAGGCAGTAGGAGTTGAAGATTCTATAATTTAAACAGATAAAATACCATAGTATAGCTTATCACTTGACTGAAATCGGTGAGCCTGCAACAGTGGGCGGGGGAGTGACGGTAGTTGGAGGATGGGGGACTGAGGGATGCTACAGTCTCCAGAGCTGGGATGGGAACGTGTAGTTCCTCTTCACTTCAGCTAGCAGGGTTTTAACTTCTTCAGGTAATCTTGAACCTTTGAACTCAAGGCACAGCTTTCTTGGCCTTTCTTCAGCCTGAATCTGTGAATAGAAGACATGGGCAAGGACCCGAGTCACCCACTAGGAACCTGGAACATTCATGGGCCGCCGAGATCCCTTGCCCTCTGTAAATGAAGTGATTGTATATAATCTGTAGCTGGCATGCTGGTGTCACATTGGCAGCTTATGAATGGGGACCCCTGGACCCTCCTCTAGGGACTAGGATTCCCTCTATGGGGCTGGGGCAGAGGAGCTGGCCAACATCCTGATTTGTAGCTAGGATGAAACTTCCCCATTCTAGAACAACTCCCTGCTCCAGCTTTGAATGTTTGTGTGTCCACCTGGGACCCACTCATTGCTCTAGATTCATAGTATAAGTGTGTGTGCATGTGGGGGTGGGGTGGGGAATTCTTTTCTTTTCCATCTGTCACTTCCTAACTTGACTGGTATTCATTCCACAAACCAACTCTGCCTCCTACTGGCCAATGGTCACAGACAACCACCTCTGCCTCCCCAAACTCAGTTTCTCTTATAAGAAAATATGTGTCCCAAGAGGATCAGCAGGAGTCATAACAGAAAAGTGCCTCAAAATGCTGGCATGGTGTGTGAGTCACCTCAATCAGGCTCCTAATGACCCTGAGATACAGGCAGGCTTCTGTTTTAACCCTCTTCACAGAAGGGAGTCAAAGCACGGGGTATATATGGAAGAGTTTCCTGTCTGAGGCCCCTCTTAGAGAAGGCAGGTTGGTAAATTGGTAAATGAGTGGGGGGGGGGGGCGGTGCTCATGGGATACAGACATGTGTGGTGAGATGAAATTCTTTATCTGTCTATCTTGCTTTTTGAGGCAGGGTCTCTCACTAAATCTTGAACCTAACCGCTTCAGTTAGGTCAGAATCAGAAGCTCCACAGCATGTGCCTGCCTCTGCCTCATCCAGCTGGGAGTTACAAACTCACAAAACCCTGCTTGACTTTCCCTGTACTTGCCGGGAATATGAACTCAGATTATCATGCTTGGGCAGTCCAACACTTTACCCACTGAGCCAACGTTCCAGCCTGTTTGTTGCTTTTGTTAAGTATTTCCTTCTGGCTATATAATATGGTATATAATCATGGCACTTTGGAGTTCAAACAAATAAATCAGGACTCCCTCCTGGGAAGCCCTACGCTCCCCCTAGCAGCCAAGCCTGGTACTGCACCATAGTTTGTCTGACTGGGTTTAGAGTCTTTATTCCTGTAGAACAGCACCATCTAGTGTCTATTATTCTCATCCCAGTCAGCGTTTTCCCTCCCAGGGCTAGAGGTGGACCAGGTAGGTATTCACTCACATAACAGCTGGGTGGGAACAGGTGGGGCTGGTGTTTCTATAACACCGGATTAACTTCTGGGAAGGTAATCTCTCCAGAAAATCGAAGCAGCATCTAGCGGAGGGCACGTGCACTAGAAGAAAAGTGCAAAAGACCATTAGCACCCACACCTCAGCCTCCCACCCACACAAGGATTTAAAAGTAAAATCTACAAAGTCCTTCCTAGGACAGACTCAGGCATGGAGATCATACCCAGAGGGCCATGGTGCAGCCCTGTCTCAGCAGTCACTGATCTCTGGAGAACAATCAGAAGGCAAAGGGGGTCAGATCTAAGCACCCCCACAAACCAGCAGATGGTGGTGACAGCCACAAGCCACAAGCCAGCCTGAGCCCGTGGCTCAGCACATACCCCTGTCCATATAGTGAGATCCCACCTATACAACCCCCTTCAGTTCCCACCTCCCATTGCAAGTGAACAGCTCTGTATTGTACCAGTACTTAAGCTCTCGGGCTCTAGACCCACATCCTAGGGTACCTGTTACCCCATTACATGCAGACATTGCAGTTCATGGTTTACAGACATGGGAGCTGGTAAGGAACTGCACAAGAGCTCAGAAGGGAAAAAAGGTGCCCCCAAGAAGTAGCTAGTCCACTCACCTACACAATCTTCTGCATCCCCTTCCTTGGTCCTCACCTCTTTCACAGCCCAATAACCCTAAACTCTGCTGGTCTGTATACTCCCCTCCCCACATCCCACCTTCAATATCTTCATGCTCTAACCCTGGCTCCTTCCTACCTCATGATTAACAGAAACCCAGGGGTCCATTGTTAGGTCAGTGTTCTCTGACTGGAACTCCATTTTAGCCATGCAGAAAACATTTTTGAGAGGTCTAATAGTTTCCTGGCTATTAGCTCCTGTGGTTCTTCCTTCAGTCCCTGCCTGTCACCCGTCAAACTGTGAAAACCAGACCTAGTCCCTCTTCTGGACTTCAGGGCTCCCAACCTGTTTAAAACAACTCCATCAGTCCCTTCCACCTGTCTGTAGCATATGGATCAAAATTATCTTTTACACTGTAGCCGGCTCAGCTTTCAAAAGAAAAAAAAAATCCCTTCCAAGACAAGACCTGTCTTGGGACTGCACCCAGAGGACCCTGCTCCAGATCTGTCTGTGCTGCCACTTGGTTCTGGCATTAGAAAAAGAATGGGTTTGGGTTTCAGGTCCTGAGCTCCCCACAAAGCAGCAGATGACTGCCCCTGGCTCATAATCCTCCTCCATGCCCAATGCCCTCAGCCCATTCATTCGCTCCATTTCCCCCTCTCCAGGCAGGAGCAGAGATGGAACCAGTGAGGTCTACATGAGCTCTGTCCCATGCCCAGAGCCCCTGTATGTATCCTCCCCTCCCTGGGCCCAAGCACAAGGATCCCAGCACTCACTGCTCTTGCTGGTCACATCTTGTGGCCACATTGCAGCCAGCAGCAGGCACACCAGGGCCATGGTGATGAGTTTCATGGTGATGAGTTTCTGACTCGGGCCTCTCTGGAGCAACCACCGAATGTCTGGTGAAGCCAAGAGCTCTCCTCTGCCTCATCTTGTACCAAGCTTTTATCAGAAGGCACAGGGTGCTTTCCCACACCATGAGGAAGATGTGGGAGTCTCTGGGAGAAGGAACTCATCCCCAGTGGCCACATGGAAAAGTCCATTCCTCACCTCTCTTGGGTAGTATTCAAGATATGTTTGGGTACCCCGTGGCCTTGGGAAGTTCCCCAAGTGCAAAAGCAGATACCAATCTTGACAATCTTGACAAAATACGTGGGAGCTGTCTTGGCTGAGTGGAAAGTCAAGAAAGGTGAAAGAGAGGAAGTGGCCTGTACATAGCTCATCTAACCCACATCATTCCATTCAAAGCAGCTACCGGCCCTGGAGGAGGACAGCCCACAGGAGCTACGAGCTTCATCGAAGCGAGCTAGGGTTTGGATCCCAGCTCCGCCAATCAGTGATTGCACCAACTTATCTAAGCTGCACATCCCTGCAAAAACGGAACCAGTACATATCTCAAATGTGGGTGATAAGAAGGCAGTGAGGAGCCAGGGAGATGGGCTCCGTCAGCCAAGGACTTGCTATGCAAGCATGGGGACCAGAGTTTGATCCCCAGAACCCCCATAAAAAAGTGCTTTTGTAACCCCAGAGCTGGAGGAGCTGACAGGCAGATCCCTTGAGCTGACTGGTTGGCCAGCCTAACCTACTTGGAGAGCTCCGGGCCAATGAGAGACCTTATCTCTGAAAACACAGTGGTCCACATGCACAAACACACATGGATGTACACCTTCAAACATGTACACACACACACACACACACACACACACACACACACACACACACACACACACACACTTAAATAAGATCCTCTCTGCCAAATGCCTGGCCAGCATATTTGCTATTTTCTATTTTTATTTCTGGTCCCCCGCCCTTTCACAGCTTACTCTGTTCCAGGTCCTTGGTTACGCTTGGGAACACAATTGCCAATGGATGCAGAGCCTGACCTGAGCCATCTTGCTTCAACTTGTAGACAAACCGTAGAGAGCCATCCAGCACACTGACTACTCAGTAAAGACAGATGTGCCATGTGGAGAGCACAGGAGAATGTTGGGGACACCCAGGGATGTCAGAGGACCCTTCCAGGGCAGTGTTCACCATGTCCTGCAGGCTGCTGTGGAGACAGCATGCTAGGTAGAGGAAGGACTCTGTAAAAGTCAAGGTATAAAAAAAACACACACACACTTCATTTTGAGTCAGCAGGGAACACTAGAGCGGGGGTATAGCTGGAGATGGGGTTGTGCAGCCAGATGAAAACAATGTGCGCGATGTGCGGTACTTGGGATAAGCAGCTCAAGAAAAAGCAGCTGAACCAAACCCATGCATTGGAATCCTGAGGCCTATACACAGAGGGTCAGCTAGGCTAATCTACTTCAACCTTAGACTATGTGACTGAAAACCCTTCAGTATTTGCCTGCTGCCAGTTGAGCCCAGTACAGTCCACTGGACAGTTACAGCTCTCTTCCCGTTACATCCCAAATAGTCACGTACCCCTCATCCCTTCTGCCTTAGGCTTTCCTGTCTCCAGCACTTCATTCCTACTGTAACATCTCCCTGCACCACCCTCCTCGCCAGCTCCCTCTGTGCCCAGTCTGCTCATTTCAAACACCTTTCTCCAATAAAAGCCAGTTGTCAACCCCCCACAGGCGGATCTCAGCCTCCTTTGAAGCCCCTGTGTCTGGATGGCAATATGAAGTCCTTACCCTCCTGCGTCTCTACACGGGCACCCCCCACTCCCTGCTACCATGGCACATCTGAGTTGAAGGAGCCTTTCAAGACCTTTGGCCATGATGACTCTTGACATTCCTGAGGGAGCTTTTTTGAAACTGGGAATGTCTTGGCTCTATTTCAGAGTCAGAATCGAAACACAAGTGCCTGCACATGTTAGAAGAAAACTCCAGGTGAGTGTCAAAGCACCAGAAGATAAAATCTTCACAGTAGAGAGGGTGGGCGGGTGACTTTCGGAAGAGGAAAGTCATGGGCTCGATGCTATATCGAGATCAGGGTGGCGTGGGGTGCAGGGACTTGAGCTCGGGGTATCTCAGAACAGAATCAGCCCTCATGATTTCTACACTGCTGGGCCAATGCCAGTCAGTCCCCTACTGCTTCCTGACACCCAAAAAGTCACTAAAATCACTACCCTATTGCTGCCTCTCTGCTACGCCCTTGTCTTTGGAGGCTGATGTGTTTTGATCCTTTACCTGGGGTCTTGGGAGAGAGAAGGTGTGAGTGTGTGTCAACTGGCCAAAGGCAACCTCAGACCCTTTAGACTCAGGCAATAAAGAAGGGTCCACATAGCTGCCCAGAAAAAATTGCTAGTTCTTCCCCTGATCCTGGGGCTGTCCCTCCAACAACTCACTTCCTATCCTCCATTTCACTACGGCCACAGCTAATTCCAAGCAGACAGAGAAGGGGAACTCATCAGTACTTCGTTATGCCTTCCCTTTCCAAGCTCCCCCAGCACCTGGAAGAGACTGGCCAAAGGTGGGGCTCTTATCATCCGGCAACTTCATGTCACACATGGGCACCCCAACACGGTTGTCAGGACCCACAAGCCAGGACCAAGTAATAGCTCAACGAAATCACCGTGGACTTGAGCAAGCAGGAGCAGAAGGACGCACGATCGATCGCCAAACAAGGAAGTGATCCCAAGAGGTAAGCATTGTTATCATTCATGCAAGCAAACCTCTTCGTTGCTTCTAGATAAATGCTGGTCACTCAGCTTTCATCTGCTAGGTACCCACTGAGTGAGGATGGGGACCGGGTGGCACTCAGCCAGGGTGGAATCAACCTAAGATGAGTCAACCCACGGGGGCTGGTACTGTCCAGAGGCATTCAGCCCAGCCTTACCTACTGCATGCTATTGAACTATAGGTCAGCTGGTCCTTCCAGACCGGCTTGTAGACAGCCCCTTGGCACGTGTTCAGCATGGCAGAACTACAGAGGTGACTTGGTTCATTTCCAGGGTGGAGTTCTCTGTTCACTGCTTCAGGGGGAGGAAGAAGGCCGTGCCTAGAGCGGGACATAACCACGTCAGAGCTATCACTTCACCGTGGGCAGGTAACACGGACTTTCTGAGCTGTATTCCCTCTTGGACCTCATACAACTCCCTTCATTGCTTTCAAAATAAACTTCCTAATCCTTAGCCTAATTATGGGTTGTTGGAAGGGTTCCCTGAGATGAGAGAGGAGATAAGGAAAGGAAAATTGCATCACTGGAAACTCCTGAGCACCTAGCACAGGTCAGGTACTAGGGAGCCAAATGAATCCCATGAGACTCACAGATTATGCAGAGGTAGATCTCGGGGGCGGGCGGGGGGGGGACGGATTAAGTATGGGAAGTGTTCCAGAGGAAACGGTGTCCTACGGGGTGCAGAATTCACTGAATTCACCCTTAAAACTGGACGCTCTTTGCCCTGGATCTGGGACTGCTCTGATGGTCCCATGGGTGAGGCCAAGAAGTGTCACCGTCTCCCAAACAGGGCTCCACTTCCCAGTTTCTTTTTCCCCTAGTCTGGTCCACAGACACCAAGGTCAAGCTTGTGTCCTTAATTGGATGGACACGGTACACTTCTGGGTCCTCGACACCTGTCCCAGGCACAGCTGACGTCCATTCACAGTGATGGTGCTCAGCACCCACACACCACATAATCCCAAGCCCCGTCTCCTTTACTTCCTGTCTCCGTGGTTTTCAGCTGCTCGGCTCTTTTGTTCTTTACAGGAGACCTTTCCTGTCTACTGATCAGTGACAGCACAAAGTGGACAGAAAGGTCTCTCACTACAATAGGCAGGCAGAGGGGTGTCCTGAGGTTGTCACGACAGTGACCAACGCCAGCTCTTTAATGTGCTTCTGAGCCTGAAAACCCAGCCCGCTGTGCTCAGGGTGAAGTACAAATGTCTTGGCTGCACTTAAAAAGTGCGAAGTGATGGCCCGGGTCACTGGAATGCTCGTTTTTTAGGTGTCCAGACCTTCTGCTCTCCTGCCCAGAACTTGCCCCTGGCTTCACATGACCAACTCCCTGCAGACTAAGTCACCCCAAGCTCCTGCCGAGAGCCAACCCCTTCTAGTTCCTGCCTGGTCACTGAGGCAGGAGAAGGGGTTGAAGCACAGATCTGCACGTCAGGGCCAGACTTGGAGGAAAGAACACCCACAGAGTAACAGCTGGGCACAGGTTGCCATCAGTGTGTGGTCCAGAGGCTAAGTGCTCCTTATGTAGCAATGTGGTATTCAATCTGGGCCTGGAAGGATGCAAGTGGAGTGTGCCCAGAGGTGAAGAGGGTGAGGATCTGCCATGGTAGTTGAGTTGGTTCTGGACCAACCTGTAGGCTGCTAGCCCAGGCTTTTCTGAATGCTACTTAGGAGTCTAAGGGTTGCTAACACTCTGAGATCACCTCTAAAGGGGATGTGAATCCTCCCTGCTTGGAATTTCGGTGTGGTGTTGAAGGCAGGTGCTCAGAACAGTGCCTGGCAGAGTTCTCAAGGAAAATGGGAGCAGTGAGGTCAAGGCACAAGATGTGGAGGTGGGTTCTAAAAATGAACGAGCCAGAATCCGGTAGCACAAGATTATGTTTACAAGGCTCCTCCTTTGTCTCTGTTGACTGTCACTCATCATTTGCTCAGGACAAGGCATGCCTGGATTCGTGGCTAGACTTGGAGGCCCCCGCTGAAGGCTGAGGACAGGAAAGAAGGAGGCAGTGAGGGGGTGTGGGAAGCATTCAGCAGGGAATGAAGGAGGGCTGGTCTCTAGAGATAAAAAGAAGTGAGAATCAGGAATTTTCCAGGACCTTGGACAAGTCACTTCTCACTGGACTTCAATTTCCTCACCTAAAAAACAGTGGAGCAGGGAAGAGGGGTCAGGAAGATTGGCCTACGTGGCCCACTCTTGCCCCAGAAGCTCAATTCATCATGGAGCCATT